CCTGTTAAGTGGGATCATAATGGTGCCTACTTTACAAAGCGACTGTGTGCACTGTGTAGGTTGCTCTTGGGGACACCAGAGTGTCAACCTAGCTGCACGTGGGGCCACTGCCCTCCTGAGCTCCCTGATACCCCCCACCACCCCAGCACAGGAGCCCCGTTTACCACCTGCCTGCCGCAGCGCAGGTTCTGCTGTTCAATGCGCAGTTCTGTGTCAGCAGCCTCAGCGCCACCAAGGGTGAGGAGCAAAGCTTCTCCCAGTCATACCTGGAGGCTGCAGTTACCAGGGCAACTGAGCCATGAAGTCCCCTTCGAGGGGAAAGGTGGGATCAGGGAGGTTGGGGAGAGCGGGTTGGAGTCTGGGCTTGATAGTCTGGTTCCAATATAAGACAGTGTTGAACACTGATCCTCCTGCCTCAGCCTCCTGAGTGCTGGGATTACAGGTGTGCGTCACCACGCCCAGCTAAGACACTGAACGCAATCCTAAGGTTTCTCACCTGTAAAGTGGACCCAGGATTTCTTGGTGTTCCCAGCACCAGCCGCATGGCAAGTGCAACGGTGTAACACTAGTGACACCTGGGACCTAAGTGACTATCTAAGACTCTGTCATCTCGGAGCCATGGGAACCGGAGAAATTGGCAAAACATTTCCTGCATTTGATCAAAAGTGAATTTCCAGTGATAATATAGATCTGCCAAAGATGATTAAGGACCCACCTGCGGATTCCTCATACTCCCGATTTCCCCTACCTGGCTGTCCCAGTGGCAGGCCCGACCTCACCCCAGGCCCCAGATAACCTCGCCCTTAGTCACCGTGCGGTGACTCAGCACCAGGTCACGCTGGAGCTCGGCTGTCCGGGTGCCCTACCTTCAGAAATTGGGCGTCAGCCTCCTGGAGTCGCTGAACACACACACTGGGTGTGTGTGTCCTGTGTGACAAGCAGAGGGCCCTCCTGAAGGCGCTGCAGGCTCAGTGGTTCCTAGCCGTGCACCTGCCTCCCCTGCCTCTGCACCAAGTGCTGGGCCGGCTCTGCATGCTGAGGACTAGGATCCCCCCTGGTCCAGACACCAGGCTTTGTCTCACTGAGCTGTGTCCCTCTCTGAGGGAGCTCGGCACTGTGCTTCAGCGTCTCAGTACGGAGGCTGGTCTTGAACTCGCTGCAGTCCTCCTGTCTCAGCCTGCGGAGTGCTAGGTTTACAAGCACAAACCACCACAACTGACAGCCCTCAGTCTTTAAGAGGCAGGAAATGAGCTCATGAAGATAGCATTAATGGAGACTAGAAAGGTAACTGCGGCTTTGCTCATTCACCATTTCTAAAGTTTTTTGGGGGGGTTGGATTTTTGAGACAGGGTCTCACTCTGTAGGTCTAGCTGGCCTTGAACTCACGATGAAGCCCAGGCTGGCCACAAACTTGTAGTAATCCTGCTAACGTCCCAGGACGGACCTCCACACCCAGCTCATCACCTTGTCACCTTTTCTGAACACTGGTCATCTCTGTGCGTGGTGGCTTGGGTCGAAAGGCCTTGAGTGTGCACTCCCCTGGGAAAATAAGTGACCCTGATTTGATTTGATTTTTCTCTGTACTGGGAATTGAACCCAGGGCCTTCTCACACAGCTGCATCACCAGCCATTTTTCAGTTTGAGACAGGGTCTCGCCAGGTCACTGAGTTGCCCACGCTGGGCTTGAACTCCTGATCCTCCCGCCACCGCCTCCCAGGGCGCTAGGATTAGGGTGTGCAGCACCACACCCAGCTGCGACCCTCTGATGGTGCACAAGGCAGTGCGTCCTCAGCCCTGTTCACGGGAGCCCAGAGAGGAGGGCGGCAAACTCACTCCCATAGGGCCCCTCTTCTGGGTGGGCATTCACTGCCCTGTGGACCCAAATCTGGGACGGGGGGATATCTGGTCACCCCAGTAACCCTAGAGCAGAGGCGAGCAGGACACAGGTGGGTGGGGCAGAGGCAGGAACACAGTTCCTACTTCAAGGGTGAAGTCCAGTGTGAGTCACAATCATGGAAATTTGAGATGAATTAAAGACTGATTTATCTTATTGGATTAGTCACACAAATTCCAGGATATGGCATTAAGTGCAGATTTGTCATGCATTGTGTTTTCTGAGTGTGTGTTATAGCCAGGCACTATTTATTATATTTTTTCATATCCTTTCTTTTTTTGGTGTTTTGAGACAGGGCCTCACTATGTAGTTCAGGCTGGCCTCAAAGTCCTGACTGCTGGGATCACAGGTGTGTACCACCAGGCCTGGGTGCATATTATCTTTTTGTTTGAGACAGTGTCTCCCTATGTATTCCTGGCTGGCCTTGAACCTTCTATGTAGCCCAGACTGGCTGGGAATCCTCCTGCCTCAGCCTCCCAAGTAAGGGGATCACAGATGTACACAAGGACAACCAGCTAGCGTATGGTTTTCACTTAATCCTTATAAGAACTCTTTAAGGTAGACATCATTATTATCCATTTTTATAACACCCATACTGGGAAACTTCAAACTACAGTGGACCCTTGACTTACAAACTCCATTTGGTCCTGAGGCTGACTGTAACTCAAGTGGGTCAGTTGAAGGCTCAGGCTCCTGTACACAGCCATCAAAGTCTCTACCCCGAATATGGGAAAATCTCAGTGTCCTTAGACATTGGCCCAGGATTTCACAATTTACCCCACACAGGAAAGGATGGTGTCGTGTTCCTTCCAGAACTCGTTAAGAGTTAAGTCTGTAACTCAAGACTTTGTTCATAAGTCAAAAACTAAAATTCTGGTCGTGACCCAAGTTGTTTGCATGTCAGGCCAGTTGTAACTTGAGGGTCCACTGTACTATCAAAATGTATTTAAATGGAAAGACATCTCTTTGTCTTTAACAGGGTCAACATCATAAATATTTAGAATCATCCTAATTTAATCTATAAATTTACATACTCTCTCCAAAGACTAACTGATTTTGTTGGAGGAAAGAGCCTGAATCAGTGGTTCTAAAGTTCATATAAAAACATAAAGAAGAAGCTGGAAGTGATGGCATGTGCCTGTAATCCCAGCACTCGGGAGGCTGAGACAGGAGGACCCCCTTGGGTTTGAGGCCAGCCTGGGCTACAAAGTGAGTTCAAGGTCATCCTAAACAATATAGGGAGATCCTGTGTCAAAAAAAAAAGGAAAAAAAAGAAAGAAAGAAAGAAAAAAGCAAGATTAACCGGGAAAATTTAGAGGAAACAAATGAATGCATTATCCCATATTATAAGCATTGAAATTATTAAAATGTGACTTTGCATAACAGACAAAATCCGTAGAACAGACAGAAAGTCCAACAATGCATTAAAATTCAGAGAAATTTAGTATATGATAGACTCAGCGGAGATTAATGCATTCTTCAGTAAATGACATTTGAACAGCCAGATGGTCACCTGAAGAAATTACATAGTATGCTATGCACAAAGTTAAAAGGCAGGGCTGGGGATTAACTCAGTGGTGCCCTGGCTGTCTGGCAAGCCCAAAGTCTTGAGTTTAATTTCTGGTACTGGAAAAAAAACAAAAGTTAAAAGGCAAAAATAAAAACGACCAACTTCCTTTTATATAAACAGTTCATAAGGCTACTAGCCAGGAGTGGCAGCTCACATCTGTAATCCCAGCACTTTGGGAGGCTGAAGCAGGAAGACTTCAAATTCGAGCCCAGCCTGAGGAATTTAGCAAGAACTTGCCTCAAAATAAAACATTTAAACAGGGTTGTGCATGTAGTTCGGGGCAAAGACTGAGTTCAATTCCCAGCACTGTAGGAAAAAAAAGCTAAGAAGCAAACGAAAGCCCCAAAAGGCTTCCGCGGTTGGAGGAAGGGAAATAAAGCCGGTCCAACCTCCCTCAGAAGAGTTAGGGGCAGCGCAGTCACCCCACTGCGCAGGCGGAGGAGGTCCCTGCGCACCAGCACCTCCAGACTCCGCCTTCGCAGCCTTACAGGGCATCAGGATTAAATAATGGCACTGCCCTAGAATGGAACCAGCAGAACCAGGTGGGCGGGGTGACGCAGGGCTGTGATCCCGGCAGTCGGGAGGCTGAAGCAGGAGGAGCGCCTTGAGTTCTAGACCGTCCTGGAATACTTGTTTCAAAAAACTCCCAAGTAATAACAGAAAAGTAGAGTGCACAAGCAGCTCCAAGTTACTGTGAATAAAAAAACGACATTTCAGAAAAGACGCTTCCGGATATTTTGTACTTGCCCGGAAGGACACTGCTGTCTAGCAAGGCAGATGGTAGCAGAGTGCCGCTCTGTCCGAGCACAAAGTCCAGGAGGAAGGGCCCCTGGACCCGGGCTGCAGTGCACAGGACACCTTATCTTTTGCAACTCTGGAGCGAGTGTTCTTTTGGGTTTTCTTTTCTTTTTTTCCTTTTTTTCGGGGGGGGGGCATTGAAACAGGGTCTACCCAAGTAGTTCAGTTTGGCTTTGTTTGTTTTGTTTTGTTTTTTTGAGACAGGGTCTCACTATGTAGTTGAGACTGGCCTGGAACTCACTATTGTAGTCCAGGCTGGTTTCGAACTCACAGCAATCCTCCTGCCTCAGCCTCCTGAGTACTGGGATTACAGGCGTCCACCACCACGCTGGCCTTCAGTTTGGCTTTGAATGCACCACGCAGCCCAGCTGGCCCAAACTTGAGGCAATCCTCCTGTTTCAGCCTCCGGAGTTCAGAGTTTACCAGTATGCATCATGGTGCTGTTGCCGGCTCTGGCTGTTTCTCTAGGAGCAGAGTCACAACACAGCGTGGGAAAGGGGATGTGCTGACCCGCTGAACAACTGCGAGGTGAGTGATTTTGTACAGTCCCCTTCGTAGTCAACAGCGATGCGGGGACATGCGGGGTGGGCCTGGCTTCCTGGGTCCCCTTAGGGTCACTGAACCAGGTTGAAGAACGAGCTAGAAGTGGAAATGATGCAGATTTGCGCCTGGGCCCTGCCCTCCTTGGAGAGCATTTTGCGCCTGATGGAAGCCAGTTCTTCAGGGTAAAACCTTTGCCCTCAGGGAGGAAAAGGCAGCCCCCCGCTGGGTGCTGTGGGTCCTGAACGGCAGGGGCAGCAGCAGGCTCGGTTCCTGAAGGAAAGGAGGCCGGGAGGGGCAGGGAGTGAGAAGACGGACCTGCAGGGGGGGTCGGGAGACCTGCAGCGGGGGTCAGGGGATCCCTACAGCTCTCCTGCGAAACCTGCCGGGAAGCCCCCCAACGACAAGATTTGCTTCGGAGGAAGTTTTCATCCCCAAACCCCAGGTAGTTTTCACAGACCTGTGCGTCTTGGAATGCTTCCTAGAAAAGCAATTATTCACTTTTCCGGAGGTGGGGAAGTCGATGGGATTAGGGTTGGAAAGGAACAGAACAATACCCAGGAGCTGTGGCCGGGGTCTCGCCTCACCTCTGGTCTTATGAACGGGGAAACTGCCGGGCAGAGCACGCGGCCATTCCTGGAGACGCCAGGCCCTCAGTGGCGGAATCTGTTTTTAGCTCTGTCCGCAAGTCCCCTTGGTGGCTGGGCGCAGTGTGATCTTGGGCAGGTTTCTGGTCTGCTGTTTGCATTCTCTGTGCCTGTGCACCCCAGCTGTCCCCTGCAGCCCCAGAGACACCCACAGAAGACATCGGTGTGAAACGTGAAATGAACTAAACTCCGTCATCCACGGGCCTGAAGGATGACCTTGAAGGAATGTGAGACCGGCCGGTGGACCACACAGAAAACTCATCTTGATGCTGTCCAATATTTCATCAGGTTCTAACATTCAGTGGTTGTATATTTGTAGCAATCAAGTGCATGCGTAATGGAATTCTCAAGCACCTTAATCCAGCACTCAGGAGGCTGAGGCTGGAGGATCACAGTGAGTTTGAGGCTAGCCTGGGCTACATAGTGAGTTCAAGGACAGCCTGAAATGTATAGTGAGATACCTGTTTCAAAAACAAAACAAACAACAACAAACAAATGCCCATGGCCAAGAATTTTTAAGCAACCGAAGAAGTACAATTCTCTTGCACTTCAAAGCAAGAACTGTATATATCAAAGATGGCAAGTCTTTTCAGTAACCAACAGCCCTGTTTAAAATAACATAAAACACATTTTTTTTCCCACAGGATAAATTCGTTTACAAATGAATGAAAATGGAAGTTCATGAAAACACATTTTAAAACTTCCAAACATTCACATGGGAAAAGCCAATTGCCTTTTGTTACTGTCACAAAATCTCTGAGAGAATCAGTTTTTAAGGAGCAAAGACCTGTGGTGGTTCATGGTTTCAAACGTTGCATTTGGGTCCACGGTGGGATGAGCCTCACCTGGTGGTGGCTGGGAAAGGAGACAGGAAGAGGAGGGACCAATGTCCAATGTCCCCCTTGAGGGCACGAGCCCCAGTGACCTCACTTCCTCTTGCTAGGCCCCGCCCCTTAAAGGCCCCGTCACTTCATTAACACCCAGTGCCACAGGCTGGTGTCCAAACGTTTAATGCAAGACCTTTACATATCCAAGCACAGTGTAGGATAATTAACAACAGGAAACGTTCATACTCAACATAGCCTAGACAGAGTGGATTTGTTTTTTCAAATGCCAGAGGAGAAAATGGTCTGAACCATGTCAGGGACACACAGCTCTAATTAGAGCCTATTTATTTTCTTCTTCAATAAGTTAAATTTTATTCAGGGACACTTAATAGTAGGTAAAGGAACTTAAAATTTTAAAGCTGCCCCTCCTATATCCTGGCCTACTTTTTATTCTCTAGCCTATGTGAAGAGAAATCTCTTTATATATACATATATATATATGTATATATGTATATATTTATGTGTGTGTATATATGTGTGTCTGTATGTTTATATATATATATATATAGATATAGATATATCTATATATATATATATTTTTTTAACTTGGGTACTTGCACTGAGCTAAATCCCCTGCCAAAATCTCTTTATATTAATCTAACAGGATCAGTGAACTTCACTGTCTGCGCTCCAAAAATACTACATATCCGCAATTTTATAACACTGTTTTTTCTTTGCAGTTCTGGGGATTGAACCTGCTGCCTCACACATATTAAGCCAGTGCTCTAGTGCTGTGTTACACTACCCAGCCCTTTAATTTTGTTATTTTGCAACAAAGTCTAAATTGCATGGGCTGGCCTTGAACTTGTCATCCTCCTGCCTCAACCTCTTGAGGAGGTGGGCTCATAGGCTTAATGCACACTTTTAAAACATTTCTGAGTGCCTCATTTTTGTGAGCACCCACACTCTGTCCTTGAGTGTGTCCTACATCTCCACAATCTTTGCCCAATAAAGCTTCAGGTTTCTCTTTAAAAAAAAAAAAAAAAAAAAAATTTCTGCTGACACAGGCCTGTAATCCCAGCACTTGGGAGGCTGAGCTGGAGGAGAAGAGGTAGGTGGTGAGGTAGGTGGAGATCAGCCTGGGGTTAGCTTTCAGACAGACCCATGGGAGTGATGGTCATTCCCATGGCGGGGGGGGGGTGCCCGTCCCAGGTGCTAAGACAATAAAGGACGCATGCAAGGAAGGTCAAGCTTTGTTCTGCTTTTAGTTTCCTTAAACTAGTCACAGGCATCTCTAGGCCTCAAGGAGTCACAGGTTTTTATGACTGGCTCAGAATAATTTTTAATGAGGAACAGGTTAAAAGCCTGGGAGTTTACCTGTCCTTTATCTGTTTCAGAACCAAAACCTCCAAGAAGCCTTAGGGCTAGGTGTGGTGGTGGTGGTACATGCCTGTACTTCCAGCACTCTGAGAGGCTGAGGCTAGAGGGTCCCAAGTTCTCATCTTGGGCAATTTAGTAATTTAGGGAGATCCCTTGTTTGTTTGTTTGAACTAAGTAAAGGTTGGGGATGTAGGCCCTGGGTTTAATCCCCAGTAACACACACACACACACACACACACACAGAATAGAAGCCTTCTGAACTGTACTGTATACCTAAAATGTACCAATAAATTCAATAAGGAAAAAAAAAAGAAGCCTTCTGATGAAACATGGATGGTTATAGTAGAGGAGAGGAATATAGCCCCTCAATAAAAGTGGCCTACAGGGCCGGGGATTTAGCTCAATGATTCCAGCGTCTGCCTCGCAAGCACAAGGACCTGAGATTGATCCCGGTACCAAAAAAAAAAAAAAAAAAAAAAAAAGGGTGGGCTACTGTCACTGAGTAAAACGAATAAAGGAGGAATGCGTGTACGTTTAATACAATGAGGTTGTTCCTTGGCCCTCATGTTGTTACCAAATCTGCAGTGTGTTTTAAACCATGGACTCAGAATCATGGAAATATGCCAAGTGTGGCAGCACACACCTGTAATCCTGGCACTCTAGGAGGCTGAGGCAGGAGAATCACAAGTTCAAGCCTAGGCTGGTCAATTTAGTAATTTAGTAAGACCCTGCCTCAAAAAATGAATTAATGAATAACAAGGGCTGGGGATGTAGCTCAGAGCAAAGGCTTTGGGCTTAATTCTCAGTACTACCCCACTCCACAAAACATGGAAAGGAAGGAGAATGGAATACAGCAGGTATTTCTCCAGCCTAAGGTTCGACTTCCACACTAACCTGCAGGAAGTTCTGGTTCCGGTGAAAGTTTAATGACTGTTTAGGAGAAGGAACAACATGAGTCCCCTTATTGGCCTGACCCAGAAGACAGGCACCTGAGGGGAGGAAAACCAAATCCCTTTTTCCAGAGGCAGGGAGAGGGAGGCAGAATCTGGGAGAACCCAAACCCATCTATGAGGAGAAAAAGGAGGGAAAGGTGAGGTCCCCGAGGTGCAGTCATAGAGGAGAGGATTCATCTTCGCAGCGGCCACCCCGGGCGTCCTGAGAACACCTCTTGGGCCTTTGTCTTTGCCCCCTGCCATCTGACCATTGTTTTGGTCATTAATAGCAGCTTCCATAGAAGCAGAAATGAAAGCAGGGTTGAATGGCTCTGTGAGGTAAAATAAAATTACTTCACCAAGCGTTTGAGCCAAGTGTTGACAGGAATTAACTTGGAATCCACAGGGGCGAATTTCCTGACAAGTTTCTTATTTCAGTATCCCAGGCCTCCAGGCCAGGGGTACGGAGAGGGGCTGCACAGGCCCCAAACCAAGGCCCAGCTAGAGGAGCAGGGCTTTGTTCCTGCCACAGGGCTCAGCCTGAGCGGCCCATTCTTCTTCCCCGGAGAATCCCTGCAGGGACCAGGGCTCCCTAGACAGGAGCCTGCATTTTGGCAGAAAGCGGTCCTGTGTGGCGAAGAAACCCTCTAGCTCTGGTCTACAGGGAGTGCCTGTCCTTCCTCAGATGCCACCCCCACAGGGCCTCAAAGGTGCGGCCCTTTCTCTCAGGTCTTCTCATGCAAAGATCAACCCAGGGACTGAACAACTGAAGCCAGTGCTGAGAAAGGGGCCACTGAATGGTTCAGTGGACACAAAATGTCCAGCTTTGCTTTGACCTGTGACTGCCATGGCTCAGGATTCAGCGCATGCTCAGACGCCATGGCTGATTCTCGACCGGGTAAAGATCATGACGTGAGCCAACTGTGGGGCTGCCCAGTTGTAATACCAGGGGCTGAGGCCGGAGGATCATGAGTTCCAGGTCTCCGTTATATAATGAGTTCAAGACCAGCCTGAGGTACACGGTGAGACTCTGTCCAAAAGGGAGGGAAGGGGGGAGGGAGGGGGAGGGGGAGGGAAGTTATTGAACTGCATTTACACTGAGATTGGCCCCTTCCTGCTTGTCAAGCTTGCTTCTCTGTTTGGGTTTCTTTTGTTCACTATTTTGGGATACACACCCTTTTTAAAAATCATCTTCAGCTGGGTGTGGTGGTGCATGCCTGTAATCCCAGCACTCGGGAGGCTGAGGCAGGAGGCTCGCTGTGCGTTTGGGCTACATAGTGAGCTCCAGGTCAGCCTCACCTACATAGTGAGCCCCTGTCTCAATCAATCAATCAATCAATCAATAAATATCATCTTTATTAATCTCAAATCAGTTCCTTTTATTTTTTCCCCATTAAGTATATTGGTACTTTTTAGGTATACAATACAGTTACATTCATCAATGGGATCTTGTACCTTTACATGGTTTATCTTGGTTCTTATTTTTCCCCCATTCTCCTGCCCTCCCTTCACCCCCCTCCGCCTTCCCTATTGACAAAGACTTTGTTTCCATTTTTCCTTTTCTTATATTTTTTATTTTATTTATT